TTCTTCAGTCGACTAAAATGTCAGTAATTTGATAGTGAAATTTAAAGGTATATACATTTTATCGTTATATTACATAACATTCTAGTATATTAAAATATACTGTGTTTGTAGGCACCTATTATTTTAAAATAGACAATATTAATTGGTCATTTGTATTATAACTGTAACAAATAATAGTATATAATTGAATATGTATTTTTTTTTAAACTTTTTCTATGAATTTTTTACTAAAATTTTGTTAAAAAATGATATACCTAGTGTAAATAGTATTATTTTTTTTACCATTTCCACAATATGTTCCCGTGACAAAAAAACATAGTTTGTGTGACTATGGAACAAAAAAAATTGCATAAATTTGAACCAATATATGGTTTTATGGCTTACTTTAAAGATTCTTTAATTGTGGATGCTTGTTAAAATCAACAACTCAATTTCTCACTACTGATCAATTTGATAAAAATGTTTAATCTTCATTTCGAAAAATGAATGATGATTAAAAAAATTAAGGAGGAAAATAATTTTTGCCCTGTTCCTGTAAGGCAAAAACTCCTTGCCAATCAAGAAGGCGTGCTTGTTTTAAAAATAATGTGCTATAATATGTAATAACTAATAATTAATAGTCGATGTCATAATCAATCGTCCTGAAAAATAAATAATAATAGTAAAATAATATAAAAAATATAGGTAGATATAATTAATTTAATGATTATTTTATAATACTGCATAGGTAACACTGTCGTTTATAAAATATAATACCTATACGTATGGTTTATGAAAAATAAAATAAAAATATAATGTAATATGATTTAATTTATTGTCTATAATTGCTATATTTTTGTTTATAGAACGATATATTAAAGTCTAGTTAAAACATYATGATAAAATATGCTAAATAACAAAACAAATAACAATCTTGTTTTATAATAATTACACAATGTACACAATATATAGGAATTGTCCATATTATAATGTATTTTTGTCAAAATTTACGATCTGGACGAATTTCACTATCTGAATATCCAATTCATGAAACGAATGATTTCACTATGTGGATGCGACATTTTTAATATAATATATTGTTTAAAAACCATTTCTAMCTTAATTTTAAAATGGCTTTGATCAAAACAAGTATCTGGGTGGAACGGGAAAGGTTTATTTTGGATGAAACAGGTACCCCGTAAAACATTTTTGAAACAATGAAACAAGCTGTAGGTATACCTATAATGTTATTGTATTATATTTTATTTTAACCACGCTAATACATACAAATCCTAAGTGGAAAGTGCGCATTTTTGGCAAATGAATTGGTGTGTCGATGTATTCAACGTATCTACAACTATCGACGTGTTTAGATTTCGGAACGATCTCAGATCTTTAATGGCCAATTTTCCGGAYGGCRTTGAGTCCGGCATTGGATCTTCAAGGTTGCCGAAGTATCGTTGACGATGTTGGGATTTCGTGTTCAGTAAAATATCTAACGCATCTGCTAACCAATCTATAATATCGAATGAGCAATAAGATAAACGTTAATCAGCGTTAATTGTGTTAATATGAAACTTAAAAGGTAGGTGAATAATAAGCTAATTCTTTTTCAACTTTATCGTAGGTACTATTACTTTAATTAGTAGATACAAACAAGGGGTATCTTGGGGAGGGGGGTAACCTTAACCCCCAAAACTAATAATTTTATAATACTATACTTTTGAATTATATTAGTGTATTATAAAAAATATTTTATCACTGTTTTAAAATCTGTGAAATTCATATAATCAGATTTTTCATTTTATTTAAGTCATTATTCATTACCATTATAAATACGAATTTACTRAWAAAATAATTTTATACCTATTATATCTATGTTACCACTAAAAATAATAATTAGGCCTCGGATATAA